TTTTTTGTGGTTGTTTACCAGACGTGAGGAGAATCCGGCTCGTAGCAGAGCATCGTTCGTGTCCACCCCTGTTGACCAGTAAGGGCGACAATCCTTAGTGCACCCGCGCCAGCGGTCGATGATGGTGATGTGGTCGATTCGAGTCCATCGCTGTGAAGAGGTTTTCGTTTTTCAGTTTCAGTTGTAAAAACTCAAACTTAGTTTAACTCATCTGCTGTTAGAAAACTTTGTTGAAATAAGGAACTGGTCGCATTAATAACAAGAAAATCACTAAGAACTAAGACCGTTAGCGCAGTAAATCAGGAGTTTTAGTGGAATTACGTGACACTGCGAAGCCCCAACGCCCAATCGGAAATACTGTCCCATCAAATTGGCCGGAGATTGTGCCAGTCTGAAGCCCACGTTGCCAATTTTGCCGGTATTCATGAGTACTAAACAGGGCTGAAAGCTTTTGAGCTATCTATCCAAAAGAGTTGCTGGTTCCCCAATACGTTTCACTCAAACCGAACAGTACTCAATGACCATGTCTGTTACAGAAAAATGATGTGTTCTTTAACTTGGGTTTCCCAACCCTATTCAAGCCTATTTCATCACATTGGAAGAGTGTGATTGTGGTTGTGGATGTTTGAGATGCCTACTAATTGCCACACTTTAGGGTTTTGTTGGCAAGGGGAGTGACATTGGTCAAACAGTGATCGAATACTGCTCATTGGCATCATAAGGTAAACAGTGATAATATTGAGCGTCATAGACGAATGAGCAAGTATGTGATTGTAACTTTTGTTGGGATTGTTTGCATGCAATAGTTCTTTCATTCTTCAATAATCTGTCTGCGTTTGGATCGATGGAAATTCATTTAGTCTATTTATGACTGAATAAATAATTCTTGCGATAATTCGACACTGACTTTCCTCCACACTGCTTCCGAAAGCCTCAATATGATCGAGGTGAGTGTCTCGGATTGTGACTGGTCACCATGCCTTATACCTCGCCAAATGCTCCTATATGACCAAGCGTCTCAAATAGCCTCTACTGAAGAAGCCCCTACCCACTGCCTTCCCGTGGCGGTGTTTTCCCGCCAAAGTGAGAGGACGAAAAGTCAATATTTGGGGCCATAACCGGGTTGGTGAACCATTGGCAGTTCACCGAGGGGGTTGGCTGAAAATCCTGATTCCAAACAAACCAACAATAAAAGTACGGACCACAAACGCTCCAGGTTGTGCAGTAATCACCGCCTCAATTGGGCATCGTGGTGTATTGGGCACCTTGAACGTTTGACCCCGTCCAAAGGGTGTATGATCCAATGAACTGGGCACAGGCACCTAATGGACTGTGGACTCTAAGCTCCGTCCTGTTGTCTTGTCCAGCCAAAGGCTTTCCGTGGTAATCCCGAGGTTATCCCCCTTCCTCGGTCGGGGCAACCGGGAAGTAACGTGCCCATACAACCTGTGAACACATTCTACAGGTTTCTTTTTGTTCACAAGTTGTGGCACATTTGCCAGTTCTCTGTAGTTGGTTACTTGTTGAAATAATATAATAATAATGATGATACACTGCGAGTTTGGTGTAGTAACTATGTTTTGAACAATCCGTTGGGTCCCTCTCTCTCTTTTCCATCCAGCTCCAATGTTCTGTTACGCCCCACACCCAATGAACTAAAACAAGGCGCGTTCCTGCTTCGTTACAATGCTGCGCTAGACATATATCAACGTCCGCGGTCCACGTTAAATCCAACAACCGCGGATACGAATTCAGGTCGGTCGAGCAGTTCCATGAATCGCAGTGCTTTGGTCGACGAAGCTAAGCGAACGGGCCTAAAAGGCTGGCACACGCTGGCTACGCGATGGCGAAATATCGCTCGCAAGGTGAGCTGTCAGCTGCACGGTATGTTCCTCACAATTACTTGTGAGTTGACTTTTTATTACACACTTTCGTGTGATAAACGACGAGGAAAGCCCCATAGTCACTAGGACTTGCTGCTCAGTGATGGAAACCGGTAACCTAGGCCCCGGGGCTTGGGGCGGTGAATCACTGTAGCGACGTTGGCAACTTGCCAGTCCGTTTGAGTGTGAGTCGTGTTCATGTCTCACTAAACCTTTTGGCTCATGGTGTCTACATTTCCCTCTCAGATTTTCAGTCAACCCTCTCCACGAAGAACATCCTGTATGTCGACGGTTCCAGCCCACACCTGGACTCGGCCCACTTGCGGTTGTCTGGTGTATCCGTTCACGGGGGATATACTGCCACACAAACGAGCCAAGCATCTCACACCACATAAGGACCCGGTTGGTTAGGTGTGGTATCGAACCGGACGACAGCAGAGCTGCCTATCACCAAAGTTGTGTGGCAGTGGCGGGGCTCGAACCATAAGGTCCAAAGCACGCCTGTAACAACGGCTAAACCACTGCGTCGCTATTTCTTCATTTGAACTGACCATCCTTCGAACTTCACCTTCACGCACAATCCTCAGTTCATCAAGTCAACCATACACTCGGAAGCACTAGACTCGAGTTTCGCTCTTATTAGAGCTCATCAGTAGTGCATATCCACCGTCCACACCCTGATCCCTTTATACATAATCGACCCTATAAGGCGTCTTCATCAGACAACTTGTAGCCAATCGTTCTTGAAGATGAAGAGATAGCTCCCCAGACTGTTCGTAGAAATGTAAAAAGAAAATTCTTCAATTTCATAAAAATCGATTTCTACAGCTGTTTTCAAAAGGGGCTATCGGACTGTTTCTCTTAAAGGTAATCTAGTTTCTAATGACGTTGAAACTGGTGGCGACAGTCTCATTAATTAAATTGCATTCAATTTGGGAAGGGCGAATCTTTGAAGAGCAGACCGAGTTCCATGTAAGCCGTGGTTGCATGGATCGAATTTTACCCCTCGTTCAGTTGTTTAAACCTTGCCAAAAACACAGGGGATGAACAAATGCTGCATTTCTGACTCCTCCATCATGTGAAGACATTCAGTGAAGTTTCCTTAATAGGCCCTGTTCGAGGTGCTCGATCGTATAGAACCATTTCGTTACTAATCATAACACAAGATATTCAGTATCAACCATAATGAGACTTACGGAGGCAGTATTAGCAATCGACGTTCATGCATATCGTCTCAAAGCAGAAACTATCAACGGAGTGAGGATGTGTTCTTGCCATTTATCATATTATCAAGATGCAAATCACATAGACATCTTATTGACCGATTGCAGCTCATTTGGTAACGGTGGCAGAAGTGTGCGGTCCCAAAGGTCGAGTGTAACAACGCGCACGGTACTCGGTGCTACAGGGAATGAGAGGTTAAGGGTCAAATAAAATAATAGTAGAAACGACTTTCTCTTATTAAAGTTTTGACTGTGTTGTGGAAGATGCACTGGAAACTATTTGTTATGGATGATGTGATGCAGTCGGCAAAGGACGATAGAGAATCAAAAATGGACAGTCAACAATCGAATGAATGATGCAGGATAATGGCTGATAAGAATATGCTGCATTGTACATATAATACACCAACTATATACACTACTACAGATACAATCACTAGT